CTTTCTTTTTCTTTATGTTGCCCCAGAGGGGCGTTTTCTTCTTTCACTCATGACTGCTGTTCTGTGCCAGCTACAGTGGCTCGCAACACTCAATTGAAGGGGACAAATAAACAGGCTGGTAGCAGGGCCTGAGTGAGGGAAGGTATCAGCGTCTTACGGGCCTAACTGGCTCCTACTACTTCAGTTGACTGCTTGTTCTCCTCAGGTGCGTTCAGGGAAGCAGCAGGAAACAGGAAGCTTCCTGAGAAGCTGGTGTTAATCAGTCCAGGCTCCTGAGGGTGCTAGAGAGTTACATAGGAGGCTCCTTCTCCTCTCTCTCCCTGCAGCTCCTGTTGCTTTCTGTTATTCCCTCTCACCTTTTCTCCTGCCTGCCTGTTATGTCTCTTGTGCCCTCCTTCCTCCAGCACAGTACCCTACCATCTCTGTGCATCTAGAGCAGAGAGAATACATATTCACCAGCAGCAGACATAATTTTCCACACTCTGGGTCCTAGTGGCACTCCCCCACAGTCTGGCACCTGAGGTGGCCGCCTCAGTTTGCCTCATGGTAAGGCCAGCCCTGTGCTGCCTCTTTTGCACAAGAATAGCACGCTCAGCAGCCAATGGAGGACTAATGGGGACCACCTCCAACTTTACATTTTGGCATGCACCTGCATGAACCATGACTAACTTACTCAGCTATGTGGGCCTGTCCAATTCTGAATATAGACTGCGCTGTGACAGACTGACAATATCCTGTATGAACTTTATTGAATTAAGTTAATCCTTATGAATTAAGTTAAACCTTTAGGATCCATTCTATTAAAAATGCAGTTGTGTATGTGGTATTGTCGGCATGTCCCTTCTCTAAGAGTGACTAATGCAATCTCTTGCGAGGTATTAGGAACTTCAAAGGGGCTTTTGGAACAATACCCCCAGTACTTCCTAGGAAATCCACTTCACAGATAAGGGGAATGCAAATAGCCCGTTTGAAATTCATCCTTTTGAAGCTACACCCTGGACAGGAAAACACATTGTTTACTAATTACATGCTCCTGGAAACTTCAGCTCTAAGGCCCCAGAACTGTATAAAGGGTGGACTAAACGTGGTATGAATGTGCTTGTTCTGAGCTGAAGCTGTGATGAACTTGTGACCACAAAGGAAATCCCTGGGTGGGCTGGTGGACTGCTCCTGCCAGAGCCCATATTAGGCTTATCAGATATCTCCCAAACTCTGAGTGTGCACGTATATTCTTCTATTGTTTTTTAATGTTTTCTCTACAGTGCTTTACCTTAAGAATAAAATAGAACTGTCTGGTAACTTATAACTGTTGACAATCACTCTGTTATCAGTCTCTGAAGAAAAAGCAAGCAGTTTTGCTTGGGCAACCTATCTCCGCTGGGAATAATACAATGTAGGTGGGGAACTGTGCAGCCTGGAAATATGCCAGTCGGAAGGGACTGAGACACAGGTTTCCACCCCAAGACAGGCAATGGTAGGGAGCTGGACCATTTAGGGAAGATACAGGTGCAGTTGCCCTAAACTGTTGCACACATCTATTCCTGAGACCACTTCCATAACCAAGCCCTTTTGTGTGCACCCATCCTCGAGCATCCACTTGCTGTATGTGTGCATAACCACCCCACAATGAAAACCCTGTTTGTGTTCATCTCCAGAATTTGTGAGTTCAGGTGGCTTGATGCACATGGAAGCTGTTACCATTTTTACCCTAAATATTCCATAGCAATGGAGAATCCCACCTAAAGTCAGATCCTCTTGGAGTCTGGCCACCACTGCTGCAAGTGGCAGGTAGCTCAACCTTATGCAGACAGCTACTGACCCTGCCTAGGGACTGGTGTCCAAGCCTGCTGATCACCTCCCCTGTGCAGTAGACAGGTACTGGATTGTGGGGGACAAAGGACAGTCAGTGCTGTTTGCAGTGTTGTAGCCCTATTGGTCCCAGGATTTGAGAGTGACAAGGTGGGTGAGGTGATATCTTTCATTAGCCCAATTTCTGTGGGTGAGAGAGTCCATGTGCCAGCAAGAGTGAGCGAAGTTAGGCAGGTGCCCCAGGCTGTTCCAGTCCCCAGAGATGGCTGCGAGAGGCCAGTGCTCTTTACTGTACAACACTCGGTGTCTAGTTTTTAAGCCTGGTGCTCTGTTGGGAGCCCTTGTGTTTCCAAGGCCAGATGCACAAGGAGAAGGAGTAGAAACCTAATTTGAAAACCCAGGAAGCCCACGTTGGGGCTGAGTTAGGGGAGACTGGAGGTTTTGCAGGCCCTCTTTAGCTCTTCCCCCGTCCCGGGTAGCCCTGCCTGCAGATACTCCCGCTCCAACTTCTGGAGCCCCTGGCACACCGCCGTTCTGTGCAGGGCCTCTCTGCAGCCTGGTCGGAGGCTGCTCCCCGTCCCCTACCCCTGGCCTCCCGCTCCCGGCCCCTCCCCTTTGCGTGGGGGCAGAGCGCGGCTGCCCGCTGCCCCCACGCCCCGGGCAGCTGCCCACCTGAGCGCGCGCCTCCCCTCCGGCTCAGCCGCGCCGGGACGCGGTTGCGCAGCAGCAGCCGGCGGGGCAGCAGCGCGGGGGGCTTTGCACTCGCCGCCGCAGCGCCGGCGACGGCAGCAGGGCGGGCTCTCGCCCGGGCCAGCGCCTGCCGGCTGGGGATGCTCGCCCCCTAGGCGGCGGCGGGGGATGCCGCGAAGCGTGTGACGCTGGGCGGAGGGTCTGGCTGTCGCAGCGCCGGGGCGGGCAGTGCACCGCGCGGGGCTCTCTCGGGGAGGATGCCCGGAGCGGCGGCGGGGGCGGCGGCGGCAGCCTCGGCAGCGGCGGGGATGCTGCCGGCTCAGGAGGCGGCCAAGCTCTACCACACCAACTACGTGCGGAACTCGCGGGCCATCGGGGTGCTCTGGGCCATCTTCACCATCTGCTTTGCCATCGTCAACGTGGTGTGCTTCATCCAGCCCTACTGGATCGGCGACGGCGTGGACACCCCTCAGGCGGGCTACTTCGGGCTCTTCCACTACTGCATCGGCAACGGCTTCTCCCGGGAACTCACCTGCCGGGGCAGCTTCACGGACTTCTCCAGCCTGCCCGCGGGAGCCTTCAAAGCCGCCTCCTTCTTCATCGGGCTCTCCATGACGCTCATCATCGCCTGCATCGTCTGCTTCACCCTCTTCTTCTTCTGTAACACGGCCACCGTCTACAAGATCTGCGCCTGGATGCAGCTGACCTCGGGTGAGTCAGGGGTGCAGTCAGCACTGCGGGCGCGGGGAATAAACTTACGCCTGCTGCGGGCACCCGAGTCTCACGGGTTAATAGGAGTGCGTGTGTGTGTGTGGGGGGGGGAGGTTGTCATGCAACTCCCATTCACCAGCACCTGCCGCCAAGGGTTACTCAACAGTCAGTCTCTATGCAGGGAGAGGGGGGCTGGAGAAACTTACATGCACTGGTAGTCGTTTAGACTGGGTTAATATCCCGCATGCAGTGAAGGGGCTAGGGGGCTCATAGAGAAACGCAGATTAACCCTGACTATCAAGGGGTAATATCCTCCCCGCAGAGATGGGGCTGGGGTGTTTGTATGTGTCTGTGTAGGGGTGTCAAGTCAAAACTTCCATGCAGTAACTGTGCCCGGAGTTAAAGTCACCCCGTGGAAGGAGAGAAGTTGGGAGATAATGCTAATACATGAAAAAGCTTAACTGCATTAACAACTGAGATGACCTGTCTATATCAGACCTTGTGTACACTGTGACTGCCTGTAATGTATTGAAGCATATGCTAGAGTAACATCTGACCGCTGTCTCTTCCCCTTGCATCCTCATAAAAACAGATGTGTGTCTTAGAAAGCAGCCCCAGTGAGCAGAAATTGTTAAATAAAACAGAGAGGAATCTAGAAACTAAACCATGTACATCCAACCCAGAACATCCATTTGGACAGGGCTGGCATATTAAGAAATATAGTGAAACCACCAGCAAAAATCTGTCCTCTAGTAGATCAAAGGTCATAACAAAATGGTAGGGGAAACCTGGGAATGCTATAAAGTGGCCACATAGAACAAGAAAGATTGACTGCTGGGGGTTATTTGCAGTAGTATTGTAACCTGTTGAAGGTTAGTCCTTAGTGCGAATTTCCATGTAGTTACGAGGAAACCTTCCTCCTTTCAGTAACATCACAGGATGAAGTCTCGTTATTCTTGCCAGGCTGGAGAGCAGCTGAGGTCGTTGGATTGTGTGTGTGCGTTTTTAACAAGATTTATTCCTCCCCCCCCCCCACTCCGCCATGGCAGAAAGACAGAAATCCCATTGTAGTTATTATTTTCAGTGTAGAGGTATGCAGACTTCATCTGAAATTCCCCATCACAAGCATATAGTGCCTTCCTCAGGAAAGTGCATGGGGAAGAAAGAGATACAGAGAGAGAGAAATCCTGAGCTCCCCTAGTATTCCCTCCCTAGGTTTCCAAACAAGCTATAGTTTGGGTTAGGAGAGAGGAGCAGGATGGGGAAGGGTATAACAAAGCTTTGAAGAGCCTGTGGAAAATGTTAGGTTTTGGCAGCAGGAAGTAGAGGAGAGAGGAATGAGATCCAGAGTTAAGATGGTAATAAAAGAAATTTTAACAAGAAAAAAAAATTCTGTAACAATCTGGGGAGGACCTGAGTATGACATCTAAGCACAAATCTCACCTGCCCTCCTGCGGAAACCACCAAAGTTGAGGTTTTTGCTTTGCAGAAATAAGCTGTTTGGAAGCACAGGGAAATGTCTCCAAAATGGGTATTACAGTAACTTATCCAGGCTCCTTAATACAGCTAAATTAATTTAATTTTCACAGCTCTGATTCTTCCAAGTTGTTTGTTCACTATTATTTAATTTGCCATTTACAGTTACTGGGTTGTTGTAGGAATTTCTTCTCTGTTCAGAATGGGTTTTCAAGTTCTTCACATTTCTTATGTATTGTTTGTTTATGTATTCTAGGTATACTTGCTGGTTGTTTTGTTTATAGTGTTTAAGTTTCTGCACAGAACAATGGCTTCCTTTATCACTTTGGGCCTGATCCTGAAGTCAGTTGAAGTCAATGATGATAGCTTTGCCACTGACTTCAGTGAGAATAGGAATTGGCCCATTATATTTGCTCTGGGAATCCTGTGTGATATTAGCCACTTCTTTTTCTCTTCTATAAAATATCTTCAAATATGCTGTTAATTTTATGGATCATCATTGATGCAGGGAGGTGCAAGCTGCATCTCTTTGCATCAGTAAGGTCCCGGGGCTCTACTGGGGATTTGCTGTCTACCAAAGACAGGTGGAGCTTTGACCTGTGGCTACGGCTCCAAAGAAACCTAGCTGGTAGATAGTGCTGTGACTATGCACTGAACCAATGCATCTCCAACCTGTTTTGGTCATGCACCTTACACGGCCAGTGCAGTTAACTTTCTAGATCACTGGTATACTTTCCAACACCAGAGATCTGGGGCCCTGCTTTACACAAACAGAAGCCAGTGTAAGCCAGGAATGAATTTTGGCTTTGTGACTTTATTCCTGTGCAGTTGAGAAAAAATGTTTAGAAATCACAGCATGAATTTGGCTGTTTGAAAAAAGAGTTGGTTGGATTCGTATCAAGCTGCAGACACATAAGGGTGGCACTGATGACTTGTGTTCCCATTGTTCAAGCAAATCTGAAGTGTGATTTTTTTCAAAAGCTCCAAAGTTGGCGTAACCACTCCCATTGAAGTCAACAATGGGAGTTTAACCATCATCGTCAATGGGAACATAATTTAGCCAGTACTGAGTTCTATTGAAAATCATATCTGATTTTTTTTCGTTCCAAAATGAAAATCCCATGGAAATGAACTTATAAGTATAACGCTGGTTGGTTGTCTTTCATTGTCAGCTCTTTGTGAAAGCCTTGGAAGAACAAGGACTAGAAAGATACAGGATACTAAAAGGGTCGGACACTGCTGCTTGCTTAAATATTATACCTTAATTTATCTTAATTTAGCTATTATCTGATCATTCAATTTAAAACCAAATTTCAAAAATCTGCCTCAAAGATAAAGAAATATGACTGAAAATCCGCAATTGTAGATCCTTGCAGGTTGCATGCTTTTAAGATTTTATAACAGAAGAAGGCATGTAATTGCTGTGGAATAGAGGTATAACTAGAAAAGAAAATCAGCATTACTCAGTTTCGACGAGCACTGGCAATTTTCCTACAAGTTCTATCACGTTCTGTTTTTGTTGTCATTTCATTGTTTTAAGAGTGTAGGTCATTCAGCATAATCATGCAATGTTGTTCTCATAAATAGATGTTATAATAATAAATAATGTTAGCTAAATATACATAAAGGTATATTTAGCTAACAAGAACCAAACACCTTTGAAGTAGTAAAACAGGGGTAGGCAACCTATGGCACGTGTGCCGCCTTCGGCACACGAGCTGATTTTCAGTGGCACTCACACTCCCTGGGTCCTGGCCACCGGTTCGGGGGGCTCTGCATTTTAATTTAATTTTAAATGAAGCTTTTTAAACATTTTAAAAATCTAATTTACTTTACATTATAGACTTATAGAAAGAGACCTTCTAAAAACATTAATATGTATTACTGGCACACGAAACCTTAAATCAGAATGAATAAATGAAGATTCGGCACACCACTTCTGAAAGGTTGCCAACCCCTGTAGTAAAATATGCATATTTCTACTAAAGTGTGGGTGCATATTTTATTTTGGGCTTTATTTTGATACATCCTATAACAGAAGAACACAATGTAGTGCTTTTATTAAATCTGGCAATAGTAGATGGGCTGCATTTACATATGAAGGATCAAACACAGAGGTTGACATCTTTTGATGATATCACATTCAGTTCTCATTCCGCCTAGGGGATTTTACTTGAGTTAGGGTGGCAGGAATGGGCTAGGATTTTGATTTTAAAAATCCTTCAGGACATAGTTTATAATAACTCATGTAGGAGAGACTAACAGGATGATATGGCCCTTATTTGGAAAAATAATTTTTATTTGAATAAAAGGTAAGCGATATCTGAAACACATACACTTTAATCTCTCTGGGTATGTAATGCTTGATTAACTAGAAGAATGTGAGAAAAATTACACTTCAGTCTCTCAGTTGTGTAGCTGTAGAAAGCATATATTAAATTCTGTAATGATTTTTTTCAGTGTTCACACTTTTTTTGTTGTCACACGTGTAATGATATCAATAAACAATTTCATATACTGATAGCCAACTATAAGGGCCCAATTTTCAGTCAATGACCTCCACTCTTGCACCTGCAAAACTGTACATTCAAATATTTATACATGCACTTCGAAAAATTTAAACACCTGCATGCACACAAATGTTGGACTCTACACCAATTTTCTGTGTTAGAATCTGTGTAGACCAAGACCAGGAGCAGGCACGGGTATGTGCATGTACAACTTTTCCCCATCACATGTAGAAACTGGGTATTTTGCTCTTTATTATTTATCAAGCATCCAAAGTGTTCTAGGTACCTCAAAGATCAAGTCATGTCTCAATCTTGTTTTTCATAAACTAAAGAAACTGAGCTCATTAAGTCTCTCACTCTAAGGCATTTTTCCACTGGAAGGCATTTGTGGTTGCTTTTGGTGTTTGTTTTGGTTTTCTTGGGTCACTGTAAGATTGTAAGTTCCAGCTAAGGAAAAAGTAGACAAAACACAGGGAAAGTGTAGAAACATCTATTAAACCATGCTGGTGTGGAATGCATTGCAATATACAAGCTTTTAAATAGAATCTTAGTTCTGTGCACTGATTAAGATGGCAAGTGGGGTTGCATCAAAATTAAAGGGACTGATTCTCCACTATCTTGCATCTCGTGTTGTCATTTACACTTGGGTTAAGTCTGCAAGACCAGATAAAATTCTTGCATGAAAACTAAAAGAGCTGGCTATGGAGGTCTCTAAGTTATTGACAGGGATATTTAACAAATCTTATAATGCTAGGTAAATGCCAGAAGATTGGAAAGAAGCCAAAGTTCTGGCAATATTTTAAAAGGATAGACTGGATGACCCAGGTAATTATAGGCGAGATATCTTGACATTGATTCTTGGCAAGATTACAGAAAAGGTGATCTAGGATGCAGTCAGTAAAGATTTAATGATGGAAATATAACTAATACCAGTCAACATGGTTTTATGGAAAATAGGTCTTGTCAAACAAAAGTGATATAGTTGATGAGATCACAAATTTGGTTGATAAATAT